CGGCTTAAGACTCGACTGAGGAGTAAATAGAGACCGAGGCTTAGAGTTGTCTGCACTGGAAAAACATGTACTAATAGCCCTCTGGTTTTCTTGCCATTGTGAGGCTGTGGCTCGCCCTGGACAGGGATACCCCCAACATGCCTCTGGAAACAAGTTGCACAGCTCAGCTCCTGACTCCCCCCCAAACAGAACATTCCCATGTTCAGACTGACTTGGACTCGGCCCATTCTCACCCAAGTTGACTTGGAGTCGTGAAAAATGACGTCAACTCAGAGCCTGGCACCACTGAGGCGACACAAGCTCCATCAAAAGGCGGGAAGTCTTCACTTGCTGGAACCCGGCACCAGTTTTCAAGTTCAATAATGTTCAAAACAGGTTCGGTCAACCATCAGCAAACTGAGCTCTTCACCTACCATCGTTCCATCTATCGGCAAAACAACTGAAATCATTCTGAAATAACTACCTTGGTCGTTCGCGTACGTAGCCCAGGCTTCCAGGCTTCCCCACCACCAACGCTGCGAGGCCCGCCTGGCCCACAGCCGCCTGGGCCATGCCCTCGGCACTGGACCTGTCCGGCTTTGAAGCAGGTGATGCAAGCAGACTGGCGAACTGGCGACTGGCGCATTGGCCAATTGGAAAGGTCGGCAGCTCCAAAAACCGATTGGATCATCATGGATCATCTATTCAATTCTATTCATGACGTCATTCACCTGGGCAAAAGGTTGACACTGGAAGAAGGAGAATCTCAACATTCGTTCCTCCGCCCAAGCGTCCAGTTCAGATTGGAACGAGTTTTCCTAAGGTTTCTACGTATTAGGATGTTTTTCCTGTATCAAGGTCCATCCTCCCGAAATCGAAGACGGATCCAGCTCGGAACGTTCACATCCACACGGCCAGGGTGAGGGCCACCAGGGCCCACGTGGAACTCATTGGGAGCAGAATTTTGGCCATTTTCTGCGTCGGAATGCGACTCTAACGAACTTGGTGTGGCACCCCTTGCCTTCAATTTCGTCCAAAAGCCACAAATGCTTCGATGGATGGCCTGGCTTTGAAACATCTGAATGCCACGATCGCTGTTAGTTTTGTTTGTCTTTTCCAAATCCGTGATAGGAGCAAGGGTACTTCATGGGCCACCACTGTGGGCCACAAACAAACAATTGACAGAGCAGCCACTTAGCAAAAAGAATCTCAATGCCCTCAAAGGCATCCCCTTTGCTCAGATTGACCAGGCCATGAACATCAAGCACAAACAGTTGATTGCAGCACGTCTTGCACGTGACAGGGTTGCCGGGGTTGCGCTGGCCAGCACGTAGTTGGAACCCCGCCCGTAACGGATCGTGGTGTTTTGTGCCTTGTTTGACAAAAACACCGTACGGCTTCCTATCCAGATCTAACACAAAAATGATGACAGCGGTAACCGAGGAAATCTGAGGAACATAGGATTGCAAGAAATGGGCACAAGACGAAAACCATTCAACAAAAACATCCTTTAGGCTGACAATTGGCAACAGCTGGTGGTTTCCATGGAAAGCATGTGTATATGTATGCCAGTCATTTCGCACGTTTTGCCAGGCTTTAAACCAAACCTGCCAGTCTCTGGATCTGCATTTCTTCCCCTCGCCAGACACCTCCCTCGCCAGACACGTCGCCTGGGAGCTCCACCCTCTGAGGCCAAGCGGAGCTTCAAGTCGTCGTTCTCCTCGACGAGTCGGCTCGTCGCTCTTCACCACGGGGATCGTCGAGCCGAGCCACACAGCTTCGGCAGCTGGTAGCTGGTACCCCTAAGACCGATTCTACATCCATGGTCTTTTTCTGTAACGCTTGCCGACTGCAAGAGATGAGGGGCTGGGAAACCCAGGTCGATGAGCTTGTGGGGCCCTTCGTTGCTATTCGATGGTGTTCGTGTGGCGGTTCCCTCAATGAAGGGGCACCGCCCAACTTGGACCGTCGAACTCGAGGTTTTTTTCATTTTTTTTCACCACTCGAACTCCGCCACTCTGACCACCTGCCGCACAGAGTGGAGGCTCTCCAAGCCTGTTCACATGGACCAGTCAGTCATTCCAAGCCTAGGTACACAAGTTTCCCCAGTGTCAGTCCTCCTCCAAATGTTGTTTTTTGGCCTTCATCTGTGCGAGCTCCGCTTGCAATTGCCCGCAACGAGCCTGACAGGACCAACGAGCGGAAACAACCAAATCGGATAAGTAAAAGGTCAATGCATCAATGGGTGGAACGACATCCACAGCTTTGGACACAAATCGACAGCTCGAGTCAACAAAAACCGTTTGGTGGCCATGGTTGTCCTTTACGGTGGCCATGAGGAGAGACTCCGAGTTTAACTCTTATCGGTCTACAGGGTTGTGGCAACGTGCAACATGTCTTATCGTTTTGAAGGGTTTGTCCATTCGCAACATCTCCGATTGTTTCACAATTGGCCACATGACTGTCAACCTGCACATTCCTCCCAGGAGCACTTGCAAAACTCAAGAGCTCACTTTTCAGCAACTCTCACTGCAAGAACATGCTATCATGTGGACTTCAAAATGGACAGGTGCTCACAAGAAGGGTTTTGTATGCAAAAGGTTACCGTTTTGGACCCCATGATGCACACTCAAGGAGCAAGCAAACAGCCACGAGAATGAATGAGCACCTGACGCTACTATAGGTGTTATAGGAATTCTAGAAAACAAAAGGGCCTGCAAAGATTAACAGTGCAGCACAATGAGAGCAATAAGCATCTACACAACAGCAATCATGTGGCTCCCAATGGCATTCAACATCACAAAACCGCACGTCAAGGAAGGCAAAGCAATCCAAGTCTGTTGGACAAGTCCAATCCCTTCAACCTATCAACCACACGCGGCCCCACCCACTAATAAACATATCATGGTTAAGGGGAAACATGTTTTTACGGGAAGGAGTTCCTCGGAACCATGGACTCGGTCTAGTCGACGTTGTCCCCCCTCCGGGCCGGTATGGTCCGACGGAAAGGAACCCACAAATGGCCGTATACCGAATATAGGCATATATAGGCGCATTCTAGTATTCAGAATTCAGACATTAAGGCAGTAAATTAAATTACAAAGAAAGGAAGCTGCTTTTAGTAGCGGTTTCCAACATTAGTTTGCAGATAGGTACCAAGAAGGTAGATAATTAGCCTACGTATGTTGCAGAAATATGCAGACGTATCATCTCCTGCTCCTGCGTCTGCATGAACTTGTGCATGTGTGTTTGGATTGCACCACTATATGCTAAGAATTTACAATGTACAAGTATGTAGTATGTATAGCAGTGTTGTTTCCCGAAGGACCGCTGTAGAGGTACCCCCTAGCTGGCAACACACAGCATGTCCAAGACATGTTTACGTCACATCCACTTTGCAGTGGTAGCAAGCATGGAATTGTCCACCCGAAGTCCGAAAAAGTCTCTGAGGCCCCTGGCCGCTAGCTCACTGGCCTTGCAGGGTCAGCTTCGGTTCCGAAAATAACTTAATTGCACGAATCCCTTCACAGGCCTTCCCCACTGAGTTCCGTCACAGTGGAGTCACCTTTTTTGCTTTTCCATGCTGTTTCAATGCGGAGATGTAAACCCTTCCCCGAGGACAAGATGATGAACATTTCAAAGAAACATGATGGTCTTGATAATCTTCTCCCCGAGTCAAGCAGCGTCCAGAATCCCAGAATCTCGTGGAGGTGAATCCTGCTAACACTAACACACACTTACTAACACTTATAGTTTAAGTGTTAGTGTAGGATATAAAGACACTTACTAACACTTTGACCCTGCTAGCTGCTACGGCTGCTATGGGTATATCCGTCCATCAGGAGAGTCGCTTCATCCAACGGCGGCTTTGAATCAGTCCAAAGGCCAGCTGACATGAACACCGGTCTCGAACCCCCAAAACGGTGCGTGACAACTCAGAGGTGCAAACATATTCAACGCACCACTACCTTAGTGGGGTGAGCGAAGTATATACTCTACCTCTTCAGAAGACCCTCGATACAAATCAGATTTGAACCTCCCAAATCAGCCAATTCAGCAGACTTAGGGTGCATTGAAGCCTATAATAGCCGACTTAGTTTCCCATGGATTCCATCCAATCAGTGCCTGCACCGTTCCAACACGGTGCCGCCTGCTTCAGCGAACGCGGAGCTGGAGAGCGACTGCCTGTGCAGTCAGTTCCGTCAGGTATGGGCTGTCAGAGTTTGCCACATCACCGAATCTCAACACGTGGCCAATAAACATGTGTTGCATTCAAAGTTATTCTTGGAATGCAGTGATTTCTCACACTGCAATCATCCAGCTCAGCTGTCGATTCTCTTCACGGATGGTGGAATGGTGGAATGCTGCATGTCCATGGTTTTTGGATGGCTCAGATGGGTCTGACCTGGCTTGAGAGCGGTGCCGGGGTCATGTTCGACGGGGTGGTGCCCAGCTCGTTACACCATCCGTTCGCCGTGGACGGTTGGGCACCCCGGAACTGGCACCCTGCATGGAGAAGGCATCCCGAGCGACATGTGACTGCTGGTCAGGCTTCTTTTGTCACAAGAAGAAGCAGTTCAAGCAGTTCAAGTCTGACTTCCAGCGCTTCCGTGACAAGTTGTGGTTCGGTCACTTGATATCCCATTCTGGGAGGTCACCTATAGTCTCTAAAGAGCTTACTTAGAGACTCCAAAGAGGTCACAAACTGAAGGTCCATGGAATTGGAGTTGCCTGTTTAAGCATGTTATTGGTGCTGCTCCCTTGTTTTCGTCACATGATGCGTACGCCTTTTTGTGGCCTTTTTGTTGTGCTTTTCCATGATGCGTCACATGGTGCTTTTCCAACTTTTGGCATCTGATCCCAACGAAAAAGACACCCTTTTAGGGTCCAGGACGGTCCATGGTCTCAGCGATTCCCGGACAAACCAGACTGCACCGACCACGTGGCAGTGTCCGGACCCCTGGCAGGTTGGGTGGAAGGGTGGGTCCTCACAGCGGAGCATGTGGTGGCGCTGTTGTTTTTTCACTGGATGAACTGATGCGATGTGAATGCTCCGGACTTGGCAAGTCGGGACACAGCATTGCTGCGCAAGCCGCTTGCGTCGGAATCCGCGATCTGTCAAATGGTCACATGATGTCACATGACATGCGTTATGCACATGGACAGGTGACGCAAAGGGTGAAGAATGGAGCTGGGGAGACTGTTCGTCTCTCACCAACCCCCAAAAAGGGCAGTGCCACAATTGGAATTTGTTGGAACGTTAAGACTTCACGAGAACAATGAGCCTGGTCTCACTAACAACGATGGACTTGGGATGACGAGCTGGTGGAGTTCAGCTCCATCAAGAGCAAGTCCTTGCAAGACCACTTCTGCTTGATGAACATCTCGGTGCCCTGTAAAACGTGGATCACCTGGATGCGGCTTCGAGGCTCTTTGACCCGCTGAGCTACCTCCAAAGGGCTTCGACCTCAGGATATCATCTTCAGTCATGAACAACAATGAGGGCCGAGGGATTGAATGAAGCTGCATCTATAGTATTGTATATACATTCTACATGATTGAGAAAGAATGATGACATGTTCCTTGCTTCCTCAACCCTGCCTTTGGAGGTTTCTTTCGTTCTGTCTACACCCTCCCGCAGCAGCAACTTCACCAGCTGGGGCTTTCCCAACTTCGCTGCCAAATGGATCGGGTAGAGCTCTTCCGTGCCACCGCAAAGGGCAAAGCCGCGCTGGAAGCAATGGAACGTTTTTGGCGAGTTCACATCCTGAAATCCTTGGACTTGCTGATCTGAAAAGTAAATTTGTCAACAGTATCAGTCGTTGGTCGTTGTCAGATTCTGATTCTGTTTCCCAGAAACGACATGTCCTCTACCAGCAGGGTGAAAAACAAAGACCGAATCTCGAGCAGGAATCGGTGCTTGGACAAGAACCTTTGAAGCTCAGCTTGGTCTGCTTGCTTCGCTTGGAGCCTCTTGAAGGCCCCCGGCGTGATGATGGGGTCACTGTCATCAAGGCTATCCTTCTCTTGGAGTGTCAGGCCACCAAGGGCTGGCGGACAGGGTGGGTCCTCAGAGGGCACATCGACTTCAGGTTGAACTGCACGGATGTTCTTGAGTGGCCCAAGAAGATCCGTCATCACGACTCTCAAGACGTGGCCGCACGGAACCCCGTCTCAGAACCTCCAAGTTGACCAGTTGACCAAATGCCAACTTGAGCCCCGTGTCGTTGGTCCAAACACGGTGACACGGCCATAATGATTGAGTCTTTTATGAAGGCACTTCCTGAAATTGGCTGAAGCAAAGAATCCTCAGTAATGATGCCCACAATCTAACAAACGGATATGAGAGATGTGTGATCAAGGATTTTGGCCTGCCGAGATAGTTGAGTTGAGTTAAACAGTTCTAACCGAAGCCTATTTACATCTATCCACAACCAGTGTGGGAGGGTCTTGTGGTTGACAATTCAAGGCTGTGTTCAACTATCCGACTTGAACGATTGTGTAATCTCTCTTCTACCATGAGGGTTCAATATCAATAACGCAAATCTTAGGTTGCTTGAGACTGGAGAAGTGAGGTTTTTCTGATGTCTTCTTCGATGGTTTTGCGTTTCACTGGGAGGGTTGACAGCGTCACAATTCGGCAAGACGGGCACTTAAATGGACTTCTTTCGATGAGTCTTCCCTGGCCCCCCCACTCCCCTCTTCAAAGAACGGTTGAACTTGGTTCTCGTTTATTTCTGTGTTTTTAGGAGGACTCAGGAATCGCATACTTTGGAGCACAGGTAGTAGTAGTAGTAGTAGTAGTAGTAGTAGTAGTAGTAGTAGTAGTAGTAGTAGTAGTAGTAGTAGTAGTAGTAG